CACACACACACACACACACACACACACACACACACACACACACACACGGGAACCCATTAATATATATGACTTTATGCATTTATGGATCAATTAAAAATAGCCTAAGCAGTGGAGGTGCACACCTTTAATCCCAGCGCTTGGTAGGCAGAGGCAGTGGATCTCTGTGAGTTTGAGGCCAGCCTGGTCCACAGTGCAAATTCCAGGACAGCCAGAGCTACTGCCTAAAAAAAAATTAAATAAATAAATAAATAAATAAATAAATAAATAAATAAATAAGTACAGTGAGTAAGTAACTTAGGCTCAGGATGTAACTAAGTGGTAGAATACATGCTAGCATGCATGAAGCCCTGGGATCCATCCAGGATCACCTGTACTGGATAGGGTGGCATGCAATTATAATCTCAGCTTTTGGAGAGGTTGAAGCTAGAGGATCACAAAGTTCAAGGTTATTCTTGGGTATTTTGTAAGTCTGGAAGCCATCCAGGAATATATGAAAAAGAGTCTGTCTCAAAATAATTAAAGTTCCATGTCTCACTTGAAACCTGTCATTTTTCGGTCCTGTATGCACAGATTTATATATTTTTAAGATAGAATGTGTGTAGCCCTGGATTTCCTGGATGGAACCTGCTATGTAGACCAGGCTGGCCATGAACTCAGAGATATTCCTGCCTCTGCCTCCCAAGTGCTGGCATTAAAGACATGCGCCATCATGGCTGGCCATAATTAATAATTTATACGAAAATTATGTATAGGAAAAGTATTTATTGTTTCCTTGAAGAGAGAGGGAGGTATAAAGAAAGTTGTCTATGTGGAGTCAATTCAACTTGCCTATAAGATAGTAAGAAAATAATTTGATAGCTATGTAAGGTTTGTGGATGCATACGCAGTCAAAATGGAAGAAAAACATTTGCACGTTTGTATCTTCATTCAAAAGTCAAAATGTGTCATGTAAACTCCTCTGCCTCCGCTCTTCTGCTTTGAAGGCAGACACAAAGGAATAATATAAAACAACATTGGTAGCAAGATGTGGGACAGTAACAATAGTTAACCCATAGCTGAAAACAGACAGCCCAGTTTATGAACACCTCCTCCCATGGTCAGCATAACCCTGGGCAAATTTCCTAACCTCTTGACAGCTCAGCTGCCTCATGAGTCAACTGGAGCCACAAGGGAACCTGCCCTGTAGGCTACATGATCACACAGAGACCCTAGTGTTTAGAAGTACTTGGTAATAAAGTGCTTTACAGGTGTTAGCACTTGTCTCTGAATGCTGCCCTAATCATATTTAAGAAAACTATGCATGCACTTTTCAGAATTCAAAGCCTTTGTTTTGTTAGGTCAGTTCTAACTTTAATCACTGAACAAATATTTGCTGAGTTATTAGTAAACAAAAGCAACAGACAGTCTGTCTCAAGAACAATCCTCTGTGGGTAGCAAAGCATTAAGCAAAGAATTGGCCAATTAGTCCTGTAATTGCCACCGTAATAAATGCCAAAGAGGACCTTTAATTTACACTAAGTCATTAATTATAGTTTACCACATTGCTCTTGCATAGGTATTGAGTTCAGTTCTGAGTACCTAAATTAGGTGGCTCGTAACCACCTCTAATTCCAGCTGCAGAGGATCTCAAAACCTCCTCTGGCCTCTGTGGACACCTGCATACTGGGAATGACAGAGGTTTCATCATAAATCATGTGTTCAGATGGTGCTAACTTAAGACACAAATTGCTTTTTAATGAAAATTTCCATATATTTTTGTAATACAGGTGATGAAAACCATAGGAAGGAAAAGCAGAGATTATCACATATGCTCAAATACAAGTATGTTATAGAGAATAAACTGGCCTCTATTGTTCTAACATAACACATGGCTAGTTTTATCTTATCTCTTTGTTCTTTGAGACAGACTCATGATGAACTGTATAGCAGAGGATAACCTTAACTCTGTGCCCTCGCCTCCTGGGTGTTGGAACTACAGGTGTGTACCATCTTGTCCATATTGTATGTTTAATTTCTTCAAGCTTCATTGGAATATAGCTTAGTGATACATCAGGGGATTATGTTTAAGTTACATTTATTTCTTCATGTGTGTATGTATTTATCATAATATGGGGGCATGCCTGCCATGGTATTCAAATGGAGGCCAGAAGAAGTTTGTTCTTTCCTATGTGGTTTAGTGGCAGGCGCCTTTAACTGATGAGACATTTTGCCAGTCCAGGATTATCATTATTATCACTATTGTTATTTGAGAGGAGAGTCTTACTATGTAGACCAGGCTGGTGTAAACTTTTGACCACCATCATGCCTGTCTCCTGAGTACTGGGATCATAAACTGGAGCCACTATGCCTGGCTTCAACTATTTTGAGGCTCAAGTGAAATGTGTATACAGAGGTTAGGGGTTTCTACCTGTCCATCGTTCATCCTTTGCTGTGGGACCCCTGTATTTCAGTTTTCCTGAGGATGGTTGCTTTTAGCCTGTGGAGGCTTTGATGATACTTTACCCTGTCTTTAGAAAGTGTATGAGCAAACTTTCTTTTTTTGACCACCATTGGACTTGACCCAAGCCAGATCAGAAACAATTTCAGGTTTGTGGCCCAGGGTTTCACATAGCCCAGGCTATCTTCAACTTCCCAAAGACAACATTCTAATTCATCTGTTTCCACCTCTCTAATGTTGAGATTTCAAGTGTGTACCATCACTCGGTTATTGTCATGGTGGGGATCCAAACTAGGGCTTTCCAAAAGTTAGATAGGCATTGTGTCAACTGAACTACATCATCAACACAGAGGACTTGTGTGTGTGCAATAGTAAGTGTGTAGAGGTCAGAGGGCAAGTTGATGGAGTTTCTCCATCTGCCAAATGGATCATGAAAATTGAACTCTTGCCTCAAACTCCCAAGTACTGTGATTATAGGTACACACTACCACATGTGGCTTAAGGCTTATGTTAAGCAACTAAATTTGTTAAGCAACAAGAGAACTGAAACTCTACTTAGCTAATACTTTTATCTATTTTAGTGCTTCCTTTCTCCTTTCCCAAAGAACTACTTTGAACACTTTTCTGTTTTCTGTACTTTTTTCAAGACAGAGTTTCTCTGTGTAGCCGTGGCTTTCCTGGACTCACTTTGTAGACCAGGCTGGCCTTGAACTCACAAAGATCTGCCTGCCCAGAGTGCTGGGATTACAGTTGTGTGCCACCCTGCCTGGTTTAATTTTCTATTTTCTGACTTAGGTTTTTCTACTCTTTTCCTTATGCCCTTCCAATATTCCTATACCCAGAAAAATCAATCCAAAATGAATTAGCTTAGAAACTGGCCAGAAACATGCACTATGCTGCCTAAACTGATGGGACACAGGGGCCATTAAAATGCATCTGTAGCCAGGCAGTGGTGGTACACGTCTTTAATTCCAGCACTTGGGAGGCAGAGAGGCAGGCAGATCTCTGAGTCTGAGGCCAACCTGGACTACAGAGTAAGTTTCAGGAGAGCCAGGGCCACAGAGAAAAAACAAAACTAAACTAAAAACAACAACAAAACAGCTGCAGTGTTTTCTGCTGGTGAAGACTGATCGGTTGAATGTGAGTGGAGGCCTTAGGTTTTCTTTCAGCGTCATCTCTCAAAGCTTCAAGAATCCCAGTCAGTCATGGGGCTATTGCTGATTAGCTGGGTACTGGACCATGAAGACTGCTGAGATGTAGGGGTCAGACCATTTCGCAAAGACCTCTGGCTGGCCGTTGCTGCAGTTTTTGGCCTTTTTTGTTGTTGTTGCTCCTGTGGAGACTCCAACTCAACTGTTTTGTAAAGCAGTGTGGAATACGCTGCCTTCACTTACATCAAGGCCACAGCGTCTGATGTTTAAATCTAATGTTTCCTCCATAGTGGGACCAGAAAACAAACTTTCCATAGCCTGAAGCAGAGTTCAGATGCTATACTGTTGTCAGCTATGATACTAATTATTTTTCTTACTGCTTTTGGCATCATGGGAGAACACTGTTCACAGGACAGCTCTATGCGGTGGGTTCTCTCCTACCTTTACTGCATCTTAAGATTGATGTGCAGCAAGGGCTTTCACCTGATGAGAGCCACCTCATGAGCCCCTAAAGACGCTTCTGATTAAAACCAGACAAAGTGGGTTTACATTTGTAAACATTTATTCTCTTGAACTGAAAAGGCTTGCATCAGCACATTGTACAGCCTTGCAAAATTACACAGAAATGGAAAATAACGTTCCTTGTTCATAAGTGCAATGGATCTTTGATGTCCAGTAATCCGCTGCAAACAATGAAAACAAAATTTAAACCATTAAGAAGTTCTCAGCACTCGTCAAACACATTTCCTCAGGAGACAAAATATCACAAGAGGAGAATGCAGATGAGTGGCATTTAGTTATTGGAAGGACACTTAAAAAAAAAAAAAAAAAAGTGGAATAATTTTCCTGCCTAGGATGATTCCTATTTTTTTTTAACCTAAGTGGTTTGATTAAGAGGCATTGAGAACATAATTTACCTTACACTTAACAGCCATACTACCTAAATGAAGAAGGAAGGACCCTGTCGGGGAGTTCTGGGTTTCCTGGAATTCTTCTGTGTTTAGCAATTAAGTGGAGGAGTAATCGTCTATTTGTGGGTCTCCTTAGCACCCTCAGCACCCCCAAAGGACAGTTTTGACATGGTTTTGACTTGGCTATTCCACTCCTGCATTCTTTTTCTCCCAAAGTCTGAGCTGGTTCATACTGTGCTGGCTGCAAAAAGAAATACAGGTTGCAACTGGTTATAATCACTTTGAAGAATAATTTGCTGTACAATAGAGCTTTGGATCTGATACAAGAATTCAGAAATATAAAACAAAATAACTATAAAAGTTAGGAGGCATCCAAACAGCATTTCCTTAGAAAAGCTGTTAACTCTGTATCATTTCTGTGTGGATTCCTATAGTCCCTGGGGTAAAATGTGTATCTCTCCCCTCCCTTTTCTGGGTCCCTGGACTTTCTTCCAAAAGCTGTAACACCAGGCCACACACCTCAGCAGTCTCTATATTAACATATGCTCCACTTAACAAGCCAATCAGATGGGAGAGGGCAGGGAATTATACAGTAAGGGGTCCAAAGGTAGCGGCTGGTTTACTGAGAACTCGCCCTTTCCAAAATGTGGAAGTCGTAGTGCTTCTTGCTCATTCTCAGCTTAAACTTGTTCACTGAATGGATCTGCTTCTTCAGTGCACTCTGTGCAGCTGAAATGGAGGGGAACGTGGCTAGGACAGTGTATGTAGAGGCCAGGTCACTGGGTTTAGAGCGCTCAGGGTTGACAGTGCTATCCCCACTGCCACAGCAGAGAGGATGACGACGTAGCTGGGGCTGAGACTGGGGGTCCCGGAGCCATCGGATCTTGGCGCCAATTTTAAAGAGTTCCCCAAAAAGCTTCTCAGCTTCCATTCGAGTTATTCCATCCGGTAGTTCAGTGATTTCCAAGACCTTGCCAACAACTAGCATGGAAGAAGTGAGAGAGTTAATACATACCTATCACCAGAGAAGTAGGATCAAGTGATACTGCCCCAGACGACACAGGAAACAATGTTCTGACATTATGTAAACTCATAACATCTGTTACTCATTCCAATTCAGCACTAAGTGCTAAGCAACTAATCCTAATCTTTACTCAGAAGGTGTGGCCTAAGCAGTGGCTTCCTCTAGATCAGGTCATCTTGGGCAAACCTTTTCTGATTTTCCAATGTGAAATAAAGATAATAGCAACCACCCTCACCACCCAAGGCTGCTTAGCAGAACTGAGATATAAAGGCAAAGCACTGTACCACAGAAAGACAACTGACTTGTCTTCCATTGGTGAAAAGGAGCCATTCTCTACCTGCTCCTCGGACACATCCCTTCCCTGTGGCTCTCTTTATTGCTCCTAAAGCTATCATCTGCCAGGCCTTCCTATGTACACGCTCACATAATCTTTAAGACCCTGAAGGTGGAGATAGAATGGAGTCCATTTTGTGGCGTGATGGAATGAGTGTTCAAACCTACATCTATGGACATACCTGCCTCTCCGGCTCCAAGGTCTGTGGATGCAGCTTTCTTAGCTTGTCTCCGTCCACGGTTTCCATGCCTGCTGCCAGACTGACCCTAGAAAACCAGGAATTAGTTGCAAACTAAGTTGTGGCATTTGAAAACATCGCACCTAAACTGTACTTGAGCAGAAATGAAACCAGTCCCAGGCTGGATTCTGCTTTGCAGTACTGGGCCTCTGCTGTTCACCTCTGCCACACTCCCCCTCCTCCAACCCTGACACAGGGTTTCTCTGTGTAGCCCCGGCTCTCCCATACTCACTTTGTAGACCAGGCTAGCCTCAAAATCTCAGAGATCTGCCTGCCTCTGCTCCGACTGCTGGGATTACAAGAGTGTGCCACTGTGCCTGTGGCTACCCTCAAATCTTCTGGTATCAAAAGCAAAGCACCACTCAGCCGACTGGCTGCCACCTTGTCCCTTGCTCTGTTCTGCACTGGTGCTAACAAGTATCAGCAGCTGGCCCCAGCACCTCTGACAGCCTCAGAAAGAGTTTAGGGTGTTTAGCAACAAAGCCTGTGGAGTAGGAACTGCCTGTCATACCTGTTGGTGTGGAATGTGTCCATGCAGAAGAGTAGGAGGGTTGTACTGCAGGGGTTGGCCAAGCAGCGGATACCTGGCATCTCCTGAAAGTCATTAAAAACACTTTTCATGGTTCCCTCTTCTTGGCTGTAATATACTTACCAGAGTTTGCTAAACTGTTCAGAAAGAAGATAAACATAGAAAACATGTTTGATGGGAAACAAGCATAAGTTAATAGATGTATTTTAAATTTTTATTTGTGTGTTTGTATGTGTGTATATGCAAAGTAAATTACGGTGGGTATTTGGGGGCCAAAGGACAACCTGTGGGAGTTAGTTTACTTCTACCAGGAGGGTCCTGGGGCATTAGAATTGGTGGCAAATTCCATAAACCGCTGAGTCTCGAACTTACAGAAATCTGCCCGCCTTTGCCTCCCTAGTGCTAGGATTAAAGATATGAGCCACCACTACCTGGCTTGTTTTTTTTTTTGTTTGTTTGTTTATTTTAAATGGAAAAAGCTCCTTAAATTCTTCAAAGGGTCAGTGTAAACTTTTGAAAGGAGAAGAACTGTCAACGTGATTGTGAAAGAGGGTTGAGTGGTAGGGACAGAATAAGGGATGAGATGGAGGAACTGCAGTGTAATCTTTGAAAGTATGCATTTACTTAATAAATTTTCCCCCACTTCGGGTTGGGGGGGGGGAGGCATTTAGTAACTATGTAGACCAGGCTGGCCTCAAGCTCAAATAATTCCATTTCCTTTGCCTTCTAAAAGTTGGGATTAAAGATATACACCACAATTATTTTTAGTTCTGTATATGTCTCTGTGCACATGAGCTGGAGTTACAGGTGGTTATGAGCTGCCAAATATGAGTGCTGGGAACCAAAGTGAGGTCTTTAACCAGAGTAGTCTCCGCTCCTCACCAAGGAGCCACCTCTCTAGTGCCATCATTTACTTAAAAACAAAGTCCATCTAGTTATTTATTACTCACTGAGTGTGTGGGCATGCACTTTTCATAGCAAGGGTGGAGGTCAGAGGACAAGCTGCAGAAAGCAGCTCTTTCCTTCCATCATGTGGGTCCTGCATCAAATTCAGGTTGTCAGGTGTGGCAGCAAGTCCAGTGTTCTTATAAACGAGCTACTTTGCCAGCCCTTCAGTTAAGAGTTTTTAAAAAATAATTCTAATTATGTGCATATATGTCTCTGTGTTTGGGTATGTATACAGGATTAGCAGGTGTCGCAGGAGGCCAGAGGTGCTGGATTCCCTTGGAAGTAGAATTATAGGCAGTTGTAAGCTGTTGGATTTAGGTGTTTGGAACCAAACTCAGATATTCTGAAACAGCAGTCTGTGCTTTTAACCACTGAGCCATCTTTCCATTTACTTTTCAATGTTGTCAATGTATTATTTATTAATAAATAATTTTTAGCTAGTCAGCAGTGGCACATGCTTTTAAACCCACCACTTGGGAGGCGGGGGTGGGCAGATCTCTGAGTGTGAGGCCAACCTGGTCTAGAGAATGAGTTTCAGGACAGCCAGAGGCACACAGAGAAACCCTGTCTTAAAAGACAAAACAAACAAACAATAATTAAAAAACAAAAGCAGGGGCTGGCAGGTCTGGAGAGATGGCTCAGTGATTAAGAGCACTGGCTGCTCTTCCAGAGGACCCAGGTTCAACTCCCAGCACCTACATGGCACGTCACAACTGTCTGTCACTTCAATTCCAGAGGATGATACCCTCACAGAGGCATACACTCAGGCAAAACACCAATGCATATTAAATAAAATAAAAACAAAAAACAGGAGCTGGAGAGATGATTCAGCAGTTAAAAGAACTGTCTGCTTTTCCAGAAAGTCAAGGTTCAATTCCAAGCACCTACATGGTGGCTCACACCCACCTGTAACTCCAGTTCTAAGGGAATCTGACTCCCTCTTCTGCTCTTCATAGTCACCACAGACATATGTGGTATACAAACATACATATAGGCGAAACACTTATACACATGAAATAGTACATACATAAATTTACAAATGTATTTACAATAGACGTGTTTACACCCATACTCATAATTTCTTAAAAGGTTTTTAAAAGGGTGAAAAATACAAGTCATCTTATGACTTGATATTTTTGGTTTGTATATTTTAAGTCTTTGTTCTATTACGCAAGTGTAGTCCTTTTTTAAAAAGATTTATTTATTTAGGTACATGTATATGAGTGCTCTATCTGTATGTATCTGTATGGTACACCCGCATGCCAAAAGAGGCCATCAGATCCCAGTATAGATGGTTGACAGTCACCATGTGGGTGCTGGGAATTGAATTCAGTATCTTTGGAAGAGCAGCCAGTGCTCCTAACCTCTGAGTCATCTCTCCAGCCTAAGTGTGCTCATTTTTATTGCGTGTAATACTTTTAAAAGGTGAGAAAAAATTAATATACAATAAAATGGATATTAAAGTGTTGTGTTTGATGAATTTGAAAGGGTTAGACTAACTTTGTAACCTGTATGTCTTCTAAAGCCTATAGTTTTGAGTTTTAGGTTCAGGTTAAGATAAAGCCTCTTAGTACCTTTCCAGAGAATGGAAAAATGTGACCCTATCTATGAGGACAGATTTAAAAAAAAGGCAAGCAAGCAATGACCTTCACTCAGCAAAAAGAAAAACTCCTGTCTTTGAGATAGCATTTCTTAGCAACGAACCCAGACTTCTTCTGAGTAGCTTTTGACCTGCAGCCAAAAGTCTGCAGCCCCTAATCTTCAAGGATGAGCTAACCACCCCCACCTTCAATTGCAGCTGCATCCACACTTGGCAGGACTGGCCAAGCTTGAGCACCTAAGACTAACCAATTATCTTACTTTATAGCTTCCTTATCCAATCCTAAACTGCCAAGACTGCAACTTCAAATCTCCCGCAATTTTTCTTTTAAAAAGAAAACCTAAAGGCCTTTGTCTCTGGGTGCCACTCTTTGCTGACCGGCAGGGGTGACCCCATTGCGCAATGGTTAATAAACCTCTTGCTTTTGCAACGAGTCGTGGTCTGGGGGAGTTTCTGGGAAGGGCACGATCTTAAACTCCTGAGCTGTGAGACCCCAGGTCTTACAAATTCAGATAGTAGTAAGTCCATGACTACAGAAAGAGCAAAGGATATTTGCAGTCTTCAAAATTACCCTCTATTTCCTTACCATTTACCTCATTCCTACAGAACTTTCTGTATGCAAATTTCATTTAAGTAGTATCATATAGTATACCTCCTTATGTGCCTTGATAGTTGTTTAAAACAATGATTAGCTCTAAACATGTAGCTTGCTTTGTTCACTTATTTATTTCTTTAAAGTGGTTAACAAGAATTCTTTTCCACTTTTTCCTAAATGCCTTTATTCTTTTACATTCTTACCACCAATGTGAAAACACTTGCCTCTCTGTATTTTCAACTTTTGGTGTTGACAGCCCTTTTGGTCATAGTTATTCTACTGGGCATAAAATCACAGCTCATTCTTGTTTTTATTATAAAATTTCTCTAACAAATGACTATCTTGAGTCAAGGACTTTATGAAAATCTCTATATTGGCTTTTGAAATACCTGTGTAATCTGTTTTACAAAATCATATTGTAAATGACTCCTCATTTAATAATTCTTCCCCCCAACCCCTTCCCTGAGATAGGGTTTCTCTGTGTAGCCTTGGCTTTCCTGGACTTGCTTTGTAGACCAGACTAGCCTCTAACTCAGAGATCCGCTGGACTTTGCCTCCCAGAGTGCTGGGATTATAGGCATGCTAATAATTCTTATTATGCTGACACCCCTGGTTCCTGTGGGTACCTGCACTCACAAGCACAAACCCACATATAAACAGACATACACCCCATACATCATTTAAAACAAACACAATTCAATGTTGTTGTTGCTTTTCAAGACAGGGTTTCTCTGTGTAACAGCTCTGGCTGTCCTGAAACTTGCTTTATAGACCAGGCTAGCCTTGAATTCACAGAGATCTGCCCGCCTCTGCCTCCCTGAGTGCTGGGATTAAAGGTGAGCCCACCACACCCAGCTTCTTCTCCTCCTTCTTCTTCTTCTTCTTCTTCTTCTTCTTCTTCTTCTTCTTCTTCTTTTGTTAGAGGTAAATGAAATGATTTCCACAGTTTAAAATCGTCCACATGCCTATCTGTTTCTCTTAGGTAGATTAAGGCACAGTAATAATAGGAATGGTTTTATTCATAGGGGCACAGTAAACTTGGTATAAATGCTTACTAAATCTATTTCCTAATAAACAAATTATAAACATAGAACGAATATAAAACATTGTGCACTGCTACTATGAAGGAATGGATTATAAATCACTATTAACTTCCTAATTAAGCATTAGCACCAAGTCTGTCAACCTGAGTTTGATGGCTGGAACAATTCCTCAACGTTGTCCTCTTGCTTTCACGCGTGTGCACACACTCATAGGAAAGAAACAAATGTATGCAGGTGCACAGAGGAGAGTGACAGGGCCGTCAGGGTGGTTAGTGCTGAAGCTATAACCAGTTTCATGAGTACTCACCCTGCCCAGGAACAAGAGGTCTAGCGAACTGGGACATGATGGAAAGTGGCGGTCCTGAGGGACGGATGGTCTTTAGGGCGGACAGCTGAGCTGGTGCTGGTGACTGCACTGGAGAAATGATGGGGCTGCTGAGCTGAGGGCTGGGCTGCAATCACAGCATAGAGGAAATTAGGTCACACTTGGAGCAGGCTGTGGGAAAACTTCCTTTTAGACAAAAATTTTTATTCATTAAATTTTAAATTGATATAAAAGTTAAGTCATTATGAATAATGCATATACATTCATACATCATTAGTACAAAAATGAGAACAAACTATATTTTTGAAATCTGCTCTATAAATTGGCAATAATTTTGCTTTTGCAAGAATATATACCTATCTCATTTTTTTCTAAATTAAATGTTTACAAAATTTCACTTCAAAATAATTTCATCCTTGGAAAATAGTCACAAATATAATACAAAGGATTCTCAAGTTTCCTAAACAGTGCTAATGTTTTCTTTTCTTTTGGGCAGTCTTACTATTGCCTTGGCTGGCCTAAAATTCAATACATAGACCAGGCTGGTCTCAAACTAACTGTTGGCCTTTCCAACTCTGGGTATGGTAGTACACATGCCTGGAAACCCAGCCCCCAACACTCTCTACAAAAATCACAGGACCATCAAAACTATGACATCAATAGTATAATACTATGACACAAACAGGGTTCACTTTTTTTTTCTGTCTCCAAGACACACATCAACAACATACACAAACTTAGGGTGAAGGATGGAACTAAGACAAAAGAAGGTATAACTATTCTAATATCTGACAAAATAAATTTCAAACCATAACTAATAGGGAAAGACTTTCATAGTCATTAAAGGAAAAATCCACCAGAAGATACGGTAAATTGTAAACATATTTGTAGCAAACACAGACGCATCTGATTTCATAGAAGAGATACTATTAGATACAAACCACAGACTGAGCCCAAGATAGTGACAGTAAGTCACTTAATACCTGTCTCTCACCAATACACAGATCATCCAGACAAAAACTAAATAAAACTCTCGAGTTAAATGATATTATAGGTGAAACACATTTACAAAAACTTCCACCCAGACACTAAAACATATTTTCTTTTTAGCAGGCAGTGGAACTTTCTCCAAAACTGGCCACATATTAGGATATAAAACAAGTCTCAACAAATTTAGGAAAACTGAAATAATATCCAGTGTTTTATCAGACTACAAAGAAATAAAGCTGGGTATCAAAAGCAGTAGAAACTGCAGAAAGTACACAACTCATGAAAACTAAACCCACTAGTGAATGAAAACTGGGTTAAGGGAGGAATCAAAAAGGTAATTAAAGGCTGAAGAGATGGTTCAGTGATTAAGAGCACTGTCTGCTTTCCCAAAGGACCTGGGTACAATTCCCAGCACCTACATGGCAGCTCACAACTGTCTGCAATGCCAATTCCAAGGGATATGACACCTTCCCACTAATAAACATATAATAAAATTAACAAGGCAATTAAAATATTTCAGGAATTGAATGAAAATGAAAACACAGCATATCAAAATGTACAGGACATAATAAAAGCAGTTCCAAGAAAAAAAATCCATACCCCTGAGTGCTCATATCAAGAAGCTTGAGAAATCTCATTAACTATGAACCTGAAGGGCTTGGAAAAAACATGAACAAACACCATCCCAAAAGGATAACGGGACACTGAAGAGTCAGCTCAGTAGGTAAGAACACTACTGCTCTAGCATAGGGTCCTGGTTTGGAATCCACGCAGCAAAAATAATTAAAGAATTTGAGGATATGTATTTGAAAGGGAGTCAAGGGACATGGAAGGAGAATTGGAGGGATGGAAATGATGTGAATTGAAAAAAAGGTTAAAAACAAAACAAAAATGATCCAGTCCTGCAGGTCCAAAGCAGCAGAACATCCACGACACAGGCAACAACAGGATATCCAGGAGTCCCAGGAGGATCCGGTATGAAAGATTAGCAGAAGCCAGAGGCCTGGAAGCAGACCGACGACTCACTGCAATGAGCATTTACAAGGAAACAAGTGTGGACAAAGGGTATATTGCGGGACACTGTCACACACTACAGCCTCCAGAAGGTTTTGTTTTTCTCTCTCTCTCTTTTTGTTTTTTTTGGGGGGGGGAGAGTAGACATGACGGGATGGGGAGATGAGTGCGATTGGGGTGCATGATGTGAAATTTACAAAAAATTAATAAAAAGTTAAATAAACACAATACCAAAACTGAAATAGGCTGGAGAAATGTCTCAGCAATTAAGAGTACCAGACGACCTAGATTTGATTTACGTGATGACACACAACCATCTGTAACTCCAGTTTTAGGTGGCTTCCAGGGGCACAGGGCATGCAGGTGCACAGAAATAAATACGCATAAAATAAAAAAAGTAACTAAAAGATAAAGATTTTTTTTTTTTTTGCAAAAAGGATTTCTCTTTAAAATATCTCATTTATACCATAAAATATGCTCTTTTTATACATTTATAAATTAGCCTCTAGGCCTAAAATATTGACTAATTTAGGTTAAAAAAAAAAAAAGCAGCAGTTCATCCCAGTGAGGTGACACACGCCTTTAATTCCAGCACTCAGGGAGGCAGAGGCAGGTGGATCTCTGTGAGTTCGAGGCCAGCCTGGTCTACAAAGTGAATACAGGACAGCCAAAGCTACACAGAGAAAGCCTGTCTCAAAAGTCAAAGCAAAACAAAACTTTATTTTACTTAACCCTGAGCTGGCCTGGAACTCTCCATGTAGGCCAGGATAACCATGGATTAGATATCTGCTTACCTTTGACTGCAGAGAGCTAGGATTAACGGTGTGGACCACCAGTTGGCTAGGTTCAATTTTTTTCTTTCCTTTTTCTTTCTCGTTTGTGATAAAAGCACATTGTATGTAGGTGAGCCTGTACTTCACATTAAAAATAATGTTTGTTTGATCCATCTTTACTGATTGCAGTAATTGATGATTACAGCTGATCAATACATTCAAAGTTCTATACCTAATCTATCTACTTTAAATGTTCCATTAACATTTTTACCTAATATTTTCAGGTAATATTTTCTGCTGGTAATTTGTACTTGTTTTTTATTGATAGGGTTTAAACAAACAAACAAACAAAAAAAACAAACAAACAAGGGAGACCCAATAAGGCCAAACTCACTTAGTAATTAAGGATGACTTTGTACTCCTTGTCTTCCTGCCTCCAACTCCTAAATGCTTTGAGTACAGGCAACTACCACCATGCCTGGTGTGGTGGTTTAAGTAAGAACGTTCCCACAGGCTCGCATCTTAGTGCTTGATACCTAGTTGGCAGAGCTGTTTGGAAAGGATTGGGGGGCTTGCAGGAGGAGGTGTGCCACTGCAGATGGGTGTTGAGGTTTCAGAATCCACACCATTCCCTATCTTGCCCTGTGAACGTAAGTCCTCAGCTACTGTTCCAGCACCATGCTTATTACCTTCCACCATGCTCCCTGCCGTGATGAACATGGACTCTAACCCTCTAGAACTGTGAGCTTCAAGAAACAGTTTATGTTATAAGTCGCCTTGGTCATGGTGCATCTTCTAAGAATAGAAAAGTAACAAACACACCTGGGGGCTGATTCTTGAATGTATGTCTATGTGAGGATGTCAGATCCCCAGGGGCTGGAGAGATGGTTCAGTGGTTAAGAGTACTGGCTGTTCTCCCAGAGGACCCCGGTTCAATTCCCGGCACCCACATGGCCATCTATAACTCCAGCCCCAGCTTGATTCTTTTTCTTTGCCAAAATATCAATTCTTTTGCTTCAGCTTTCTGAATGCTGTCAATTTAAAGGTGTAACTACCAAACCCAGCTTTCTTCTGATATTTTGATATTTTTTAGGTAGATTAATTTTGCATATAAATAAATTGACAAGTAAAAATGTGGTATGGGGGTGTACCTGTGTAATCCCAGTACTTAATAGGCTGAGATAAAAGGATTAAGAGTTTGAGGACTCCCGAAAGGCGAAGAGGATAGACATCAGAAGAAGAAGGAGGAAACAGGAAACAACCTAGGAACCTGCCACAGAGGGCCTCTGAAAAGCTCTGCCCTGCAGACTATCAAAGCAGACTTTGAGACTTATGGCCAACTGATGGGCAAAGTGCATGGAATCTTAAGTAAGAAGTGGGAAATAGTAAGATCTGGAGAGGACAGGAACCCCACAAGGAGAGCAACAGAACCAGAAAATTTGAACACAGGGGTCTCCTCAGGGACTCATATTCCAACCAAGGAACATGCATGGAGATAACCTAGAGCCCCTGCACAGATGTAGTCCATGACAGCATAGTGTCCAAGTGGGTTCCATAGTAATGGGAAGATAATCTGATAGGCCTGTTCTTTGATCACCTCCCCCTGAGGGGAGAGCAGCCCTATCAGATCCCATCAGGAATGACTGCATTGTCATCTTCTGTGATCTGGTAGGGCTGCTCTCCCCTCAGGGGGAGGTGATCAAAGAACAGGCCTATCAGATCACAGAAGATGACAATGCAGTCATTCCTGATGGGATCTGATAGACTAAGATCAGAAGGAAGGAGAGGAGGACCTCCCCTATATCAGTGGACTTGGGAGGGGCATGGGAGGAGAAGGGGGAGGGAAGGTGGGGCTGGGAGGGGAGGGAGGGGCTTATGGGGGGATACAAAGTGAATAAACTGTAATTAATAAAAAAAGATAAAAAAAGAGTTTGAGGACAGCTGAGGCTATACAAATAAGACTTTATTTTAAAAGTTGGAAAATAATACTGAATACTGATATAAATGTCTGGATGTAAGGAATATTCAACTGCCCTATTAATCAGAAGGATTTCAAAATCACTGTTAAGTCACGATATGCACAGAAATGTTGTTTCTAAATAACAAACCAAGCCACTTGTCGTGGTTTATACCTTTACTCTCAGGGAGGCAGAGGCAAGCAGATCAATGTAATTTCCAGTGAGACCCTGACTCACAAACAAACATCAAACAGATAAAGAACAAAATATCTTACCTGAGCAATGTTATCTATGTTGCTGAATCCCACACACTTCTGCCCTCTCTGAGGGTCACAGCAGTGTTTGTTTTGTTTCCACTGTGGCGGCGAGTGTGCACGAGACTGTGGAGTATTTGGCAGGTTGAGCTGCATCATCACCATTCCTCCACCAGGGGGCTGCTGTGGCAGGGCTGGAAATCAGGACAATTGGTACACTGAAATCACTGTGTTTGGGGAACTAATCGTTATTTTAGGAAATACACTAGGAAAACAGCATTAACTTCACATTTCTGGATTAGTTTTTTACAACTATGTATGCAAGTCAGATCTGAGCTCTAGTGCAACCTGATCCATACAAGTGGTGTAAGCTTAAAAGTGGTATTGCTTACCTAGAACCCAGCTCTCAAGACACTGAGGCAGGATTACTCCTGGGTTAGCCTGGTCTGTGTAGTGAGAACTTACTTCAAACAAACAAAACCCCAAACTTTCAAGAAACAAAAAACTTCAAAAAAATAAAAAAGTCAAAACAAAACAAAAATCAGCAATCCTATAGACTAAACATGTAAAAGGACTTAGTAGAGAACAACTCAACATATATACTTTGTAAATACCCCTAATTTTAAAAACAGATGTTTTTCAAATAAAAGCAAATTTTGTGAAAGTATTTTTACCAAAAATAAGGGGAAGGCTGGTCATTATGGTGTAAATTAATTCCGTAAGAGGCATACAGATTGCTGTGAGTTTAAGGCCAGCATGGTCTACATGGAGAGTTCTAGGACAGCCAGGGCTACACGGAGAGAGCTGATCTCAAAAACCCAACCCATCCTATCCAGAAAGGCAAAGAGGATGGACATCAGAAGAAGGAAAAAAGAGGGAACAAGTCAGGAGCCTGACACAGAGGACCTCTGAAAGGCTCTGCCCTGCAGACTATCAAAGCAGATGCTGAGACTTATGGGCAACCTTTGGGCAGAGTGCAGGGAATCTTAGGAAAGAAGTGGGAAACAGTAAGATCTGGAGAGGACAAGAACTCCACAAGGAGAACAACAGAACCAAAAAATCTGAGCACAGGGGTCTTTTCTGAGATTGATACTCCAACCAAGGACCATGCATGGAGATAACCTAAGACCCCTGCACAGATGTAGCCCATGGCAGTACAGTACCCAAGTGGGTTCCATTGTAATAGGAACAGGGACTGTCTCTGACATGAACTGATTGGCCTGCTCTTTGATCACATCCCCCTGAGGGGGGAGCAGCATTACCAGGCCACAGAAGAAGACAATGTAGCCACTCCTGATGAGACCTAATTGACTAGGATCAGAAGGAAGGAAAAGAAGACCTCTCCTATCAGTGGACTTGGGGAGGGGCATGCTTGCAGAGGGTGGAGGAAGGGAGGGATTGGGACAGGAGGAGGGAGGAAACCACAGGGGGGATACAAAGTGAATAAAGTGTAATTAATAAAGAATTAAAAAAAAAAACCCAACCCAACCCAACCCAACCCAACAACAAAACAAAACAAAAATAAGATGAAATGTTACACTTGTTCATTTGAATTAGCTGAGAAAATATGGCCCAAGGGGGTCAAAAAGCCCAATTTTAGTACTTAGAAAAAGTCTACCTCAGAAAATTATTCCACCTCTTTTAGTTTGCTTTCCCACTTGAAAAAGGAGGCTAAGTAGGACTGATAGGCTGACTTTATAAAAGCTCATTATTAAGCTGGACATACTGCTCAGTGGGTAAGGAAGGGTGCCTGCCACCAAGCTGGATGACCTGAATTTGATCTCTAGGACCTACAGAGGAGAAGAGAACAATTTCTGAAAGCTGTCCTTTGATCTTCACATGTGCAAGCCCAATAAACACCCTGATAATTTGTGCAGTAAAGACAAGTAAACAGGGTATCTTATCTCTCTTGTGTACATATTACTGCAACAGCATTTACTAATGTTCATTGTGTGCGTGTATGCATGCACACATGAGCGTAAGTGCACGTGAGTCATGGTGGATGTGAAGAGACAGGACAATTTTGCAAGAATTTTTTTTAGCTTTCCACCTTGTTGAGTTAGGGTCTCCAGCTATGCTGTCTCCTCCAAGCTTCATGGTCCTTGACCTTCCCACGGGTTCTATCTGTGCCCTTCATAGAAACACTGGGATTACACGTGTGTCACTATATCCAGCAGTTTTTTATTTTTTATTTTTGTGGGTATATGGCAAGCATGGTGGACCCTTCAAAATGAGACAGGGTCCCATTTTAAAGCCCTGCCTGGCTTCGAATTCACAGAGGTCTGCCTGCCTCTGCTTCCAGGGTACTGTATTAAAAATGTATACAACCATACTTTGTGTTTAAAAACAAAAACAAACAAAAAACTTAGTGCTCCATGGATCAAGCCTGGCTCGTCAGGCTTAGGTGGCTAACCCTGTACCCACTGAGTCATATCCTGGGTCCCATTTTTAGTAGTAAGTATGTACTTTAACTTACATCAAGAACATTACGCTGTTTGAGACAGGATCTGTGCCCTTGTCTTCAGGACCTTAGTTGGCACTGCAGTAATCCTAATGGTGGTTCCAGTTCCCTACATATAGAACCAGCCTGACTGGGCAGGATGTCTCAAAGGTCTCCTCAGCCTCTGCTGAAAGTGGCCCAGGCCAGATACAACCAAGTTAGTCATTTACTGACAGTCACTTATTGTTTATCTGTCAACAAATCACTAGAGGAAAATATAGTATAATGCTAAAGATTTGTACTTTAAGATCATATAGAAGCAGAGAGCAGCATAAAAGCTTTTCAAAGACCTGGAGAAACATTTGACAGAGAGAGGATCTGGAAGACAGGCATTCTTAGCAAAAGAAAAAAACAGTAAAACAAGTACTTCTGATCTAAAAAGTTTAATACTCAGCACTCACGAGGTTGAGATAGGAAAATAGCCTTGAATTTGTGTCCAGCCTTATGTAGAGTGAGTTGTAGGGTAATTTGGCTACACAGAGAGAGACTCATTCTCAAATGGGGGTAAAAAGAAAAGAAAAATGCAGTTGTAATAAGAAATAAAGTTCTCCATAATTTAGCACCCATGTGTAACTGGGAGGTTTGCTAGCAAGGGAGGAGGAAAAAAAAGTCCATTTTGAGTTGTCTTTTTTTTTTTTTTTGCTTGTTTGTTTTTTGTTTAAGATTTATTTTTATACTGTGTGTGTGGATGTATGTGTTGTATGTATGTGCACCACATATGTGCAGGACAAGAGAAGAGAACAGATCCCTTAGAACTGGAGTTATATCCAGATGTTAGTCACCCTATGGGTGCTAGAAACAGAATCAGGGTCCTCTGGAAGAAGAGACAGTGCTCTTAATTGGTGAGGTGTTTGGTTTTGTTTTTTCTATGAGGTTTTTTTAATTCAAAGAATGACATGAAGATATTTCTGTTTCAGGAAAATAACTATGTAATAATTTTTTGTTGTTGTTGGGGAATAGATGAAAATAAGGAAATAAACAAAATAACTTAAGAGATTATTGCAAATACATGAAAAGAAGATGAAAATCAGCACAGTGAGAAGGAAAGAAGCCTGTGGTGTAAGGAAACAGGACTGTGAGGATGAAGGGAGCCATGGCACGGGAAAGTCATGATTCTAAGACCTTTGGGTTGCACTGATCACCAGACTGAGGCTGTGGCAGAAATGTAAAAAGGGGAGGAAAATATCAAGTCAGACATGCCTTTGAACTTCTGGGTACATATGTCCAGTAGACAATTGGCTATGTGATTTTATTTCAGTAGGAGCAAGATGTACCACGTGTTAGCAAAAGGCAGTAGTTGAGGCTTTTAGCTGATTTCATTACCCAGAAAGATCTAGAGAATAATCAAACAAGGGGACTCAGGAAAGGATCCCCAAGATTACTAACCCCATAGAGGGGGAGAATGAAGGCAGAAGACTAAACCTACTATTACAAGTATTAGGAAGGAGTGAGACGTTCATGCCAACCTGACTCAGCCCAGTACACGAGGCAGCAGAGTACATGTCCACACTCCGGCAGTGGAGAGGGGTCACCTATCTGCAGGTGAATGAGCCAGGACCTTTGTGTCAGCCATCTAGGCATACCTGCACAGTGGTGGCCTTGGAGCTGTTGAGAACTGCATGGTGACGTGGTTCGAGGAAACTGAACTTGTTCTGACCCTGGATGTTGTAAGTAACCGACCGCAGAGCTACAGGGTAAAAACCAAACACAGGAAACAGCACAATGAGATGCAGACGACCAAAGAGTCCTTGAAATACACATTCTTCCAACTTATTTAAATGGACACATTTTTCAAATTGGCCGGCAGGAGTCAGACCTAATTTAACTCTTCTCTGAATTGTGATCACTCAGTAAAAACCACTTTATGTTCACAGCACTGACCAAGACGCTGAAAACCAATTTCCTAATCCCATCACTGACAGTTTTATAAATTATTCTGACATTTCTTTTGTAGTGTTCAAATAGTGCTTTAAAAAAGAAGCCACTAATTTATAAAATAAAAATCAGTTTATTTGGAACTCATGGAAATACAACAAAAGAAAAAGCAGATTTGAAATAGAGTGGGGAGAGGTATATGGGAAGGTTTGGAGGGAGAAAAGAAGAGATGTAGTTAAATGATAATCAACATAAATGGGTAATTTGACAATAGTTAAAGACTCCAAAAAATGTTATTTCTTGAAAAACATAGCAAGCCAGGTGGCAGTAACACACCCCTTTAAGCCCAGTGCTTGGGAGTAGTCGGCAGGCAGATCTCTGAGTTCGAAACCAGCCTGATCTAGAGTGAGATCTAGGATAGCCAGGGCTACACAGAGAAAACCTGTCTTGAAAACACATGAGCGGCTGCGGGTGGGCTCATTCACTCTTGCATGCACGAACGAACACACACACACACACACAATTCTGATGTATTCTAACAAAATAGGCAATTAGCTAAAAAAAACTAAGTTGCTGAAATATTTTTTAATAGCATTTAGACTCAAACTAATATGGGTTTATATTCGAAGTTTTCTTTTTTAGCAAATTCTTTCAGGCTAATGATATGAAGTTATAGAATAATAATAAACGTAAATAATCAGGGATCTAAATTTATAATATTAGCCTTTCTTTAGTCATCTCCCTATTGAGAACTTTCAATAAGTATCATTTAATAACCAACAATTTTTAAGGGTTTATTTATTTGTGTGTTTTACGTATATGGGTACTTTTGTTCTGTGTACATCTGCACACCAGACAGCATCAGACAGTTGTGAGCTGCCATGTAGGTCCTGGGAATTGAACTCAGGAGCTTCAGAAGAACAATTAAATGTTCTTAACCACTGAGCCATCCTTCCAGCCCCTAACCTAAACAATTTATTGGAATTGTCTCATATAAGTTCACTAGTTTGAACTGAACTACCCAGTGAATTAGGAATTACAAAGATACATGTCAGAAGACACAATAGATATTATTGGTCAAATCTAGAGACATGAAGGAACTCTTAAAGACACAGATAGAACTTACAAAGTATTTATAAATAATACTTTTATTACTAAGGAATAATAATAATAAAAGGTATGACATGGCATAATGGCTATATGCATCTAAAAGTCTTTAGGGATAAATATACTGAGCTGTTCATGAAGAAAATAATATGACACTGGATCTAGAGGAGGATGAACTGGAGAGCTGGTTCAGTGCTACAAAGCACTTGTTGCTTTTGCAAAGAAACTGATTCCCAGCATGGTGGCTCAAATGTCTACCCCTGCAGTCCTAGAGGATCCAATGTCTTCTTCTGAACTCCAAGGTAACAGGCACGCATGTGGTGCCCGCGCATACACTCAAGCAAACATGCACATACATAACATAACAAAATAATAAGTCTAAAGGAGACAGTAAAGCTCTACAGGAGGGGCAGAAGCAGAGGTTTAGCTAGAAATACAACAGTCACTGTAAGTGTTACATGTGAACACATGGGGTTCTGTATGTGCGTGTTTACATTTACATGTTTAAAAGTGCCCGAACATAGGGGACGATAACAGTGTGTAGCATTTTCAAAGCTTTGTGTTCAATTCCTGGCAACATACACACAGATTTATATACAACTCAGGCTCCTGATTCATTAATAATAACAATTAGCTTTACTGCCTAAGTGGTAGTAAGCCAGCAGTTCATTAGATGGAAAGAGACAGGAACTAAAGTGAGGGTTAATAAAGTGACTTGAGAGGTTGGAAAATGGCTCAGAGGAATAGAATGTGTCCTGTGTGCACTTCCTCCCTCTCTCACAACTTACTTTGCTATTATGCCCAGAACATATTATACAAGTGATTGACCTCTAGAAATAATATAGAAAAAGCAACCGTCTAGAGAATTTTTCAGTTTTCCTTGGCCCACAGAGACAGACCCTCACCTGATCGTGTTCACATGCTCATGGCCTACTCATCATGAGGTCCCTTGACCTCCATACAAGTGTTGTGGCACTTGTACGCCCACACTATGCCCTCCCCCACGTAATAAATAAGAAGTTATACCTATTAAAGAAGAAATGAGATGTCCTGAAAAGACAGTAATTTAGCAGTGAAAAGAAAATTTTTCTTTTATTCATACAATTAATTGTAATCTTTATACACTTATTCTGTTATTGCTACACAAATCACACTGCAACTGCCACTGCAGCTATGTTAGAGCACATTATTTTTCTCATAAAAAATATTCGTGGCAAAAAAAATTTAACATAAAACCTACCTTAACACTTAACTTACTTTCCTTTCCCTTTACTATTTATTTACTCACTTATCTATCGATATTTGCATCTATCTATCTATCTATCTATCTATCTATCTATCTATCTATCTATCTACTACCTACCTATGTATATTTGCGATTACCTACCTACCCCTATAACCACCTACTGACCTACTCATCCACCTACTTGCCCACCCACGCACCTACCTGCCCACCCATCATCCATCTACTCGCTCATCCATCCATTCATCCATCTATATTTAAGACAGGGTCTCCCTCTGTAGCCCAGACTGACCTAGAACCATGTAGCCCAGGCTGGCCTATTATTCAGAGCTCTACCCACCTCTGCTTCCCCAGTGCTGAGATCAAAGGTGTGAGGCCACATGACTGGCATCTTTAGGATCTCACTATGCAGCCCTGGCTGGCCTGAAACTTACAGAAATCTGTCTGACTCTGCCTCCCGCCTCTTAAGCGTTATCTACACATTTATTTATTTATTTATTTATTTCTGCAGTGCTGATCGCAAACCCAGGGCCCTGCACATGCTTGGCATATGACTTGCAACTGAGTGTTATCCCTAACAACTTAACATTTTTAAAAGATTTATTTACTCTTTAATGTGTATTAATTGTTTGTCTGAATGTGTGCATATGCACTATGTGTGTGGTCAGAAGAGGGCTTCAGATTCCCCAGAACTAGAGTTATAGATAGTTGTGAACAACCTTATGGGTGCTGAAAACCCCATCCAGGTCCTCCACAAGAGCGACTGAGCCAGCTCTCCAGCCCCAACTCCAACATTATAAAGTTTATAATACGGTACAATGTTGCTCAGATCTCAAGACTATACTCACCTGGCACACCTGAGAATTTATGCCTCACTTACTTTTTATTCCTTTTTAGGGAAGTGTTCAGGAACTCACCTTTTAGTAACAACAAAGGTATAACTGCACCAAACACTATAAACCAGATCAACAGATGCTATCACCAACAATTACATTAAGGAAGTTTGAGGAAAAACAAATAGAAAACAAAACTGGAAGCTTAGGAGTTATAAATAGAGTTCAAGGAAGGCAGAAGGAGTAGGGCCAAAGGGCACACTTGGGGGTTACTACAATACAGAAAAGAGGTCCAGAAGACTGGGCAGAAGGCGAAGGGAAAAGGCTTAAAATTGGCTTTATCATTATTTCATAAAGATTCTGTAATACAAAGCATTTTCAAAGAATTCTAAAATAAAGGTTTCTATGTACATTAGGCTGTCCTTGAGATTACAGATCAGAGAAGATATATACTATGTTTTTGAGTTTTAAGTTACGAATAGGAAAGTGAAGGGTAAAGTGGCAAAAAAAATCCCTTAAAACCAGTGAATTGAACAATACTTCTAAGGACAAACATATTAGCAGCAGTCAGTCAGAAAGGGTTCAGAAATGTCCCAAAAGGTGGGAGAAGCCCAGCAAAGGTACCCTAGCGGCTGTAACAGGAAGTACATTAGGAAATAATATGCCATTTCCAGGCCTTTAATCCCAATACTTGGGAGGCAAAGGCGAACGGATCTCGGATTTTGAAGCAAGTCTGATAGGGAGTTCCAGGCCAGCCAGGACTACATAGTGAGACCCTTACTTATTTTTTAAAGGTTTATTTTATTCGTGTGTATGCCAGCTGGAGTTACAAGCAATTGTTAGCTGTAAGAAGTAGATGCTGAGGACCAAACTCAGGTCCTCTAGAAGAGCTGAGATGTTTTTCCAGCTCTTATTCTTATTTTTGATTATGTGTAGGTATGGGTATTTGCATGAGGGTAAGTACACATGAGTCCAAGTGTCCGTGGCGTCAGAGGCATCAGTTCCCCTGAAACTGGAGTCACAGAATGTTGTGAGCCTCAAGTACTCTTTAACTGCTGAGCCATCTCTCCATGCTGCATTTTTACACTGCATTTTCAAAGATTTTAAATTCACATAAATTTCTATTTCTAATTTCTTTATCTCAAAGGTGCTGGGATGATTAGCTTATACAAGTGTTTAAAGAGTAGTAGAAAAGGGGCTTGAGAATGGCTCAGCAGTTCGGAGCACAGCTGCTCTTGCGGAAGACCCACGTTCAGTTCCTAGCACTCATGCCGGGTTCATAACATCTGTAACTTCAATTCCAGGGGATCCAAGGCCCTCTTCTGGCCTCCCTGAGCACTGCACACATGTGGTATACTTCCATACATGCAGAAAAACACATAAAGTAAAAAAAAAAAAAGAATCTTAAAAATATTGACTAGCACACCTTTTTTGTTTTATAAGAGAACATGGTTTCTGTAATTTAGTTAAGCGAAGTCCGTCGGTAACTCCTGGTGCTGCAGCACACCATGTTCCCAGAACAGTGGGAGCCAGGAGTAGGGTGTGCAGTCACACTTACCTTCCGCTGCTTTGCTGGCCAGGTGCAACCACACTGTAGTAGACCGGCATTCCTGTTGTGGGCAGAGATCCTTGATTAGACTGATGAGGGAACACAACAGGCTGTTGGTAAGTCTGATGGGCGATTCCTTGAGAACCTTGAGGCAGTGAAACCTAAAATTGCAAAAAACAGATTTTCTAACCCCGAAGATGTTCACGTCAAGATCCTGTAAACCGGTGCAGCATTAGCAGTCAACAAGCTCATGCAGCACCGTCACAGTACTCTATGTGCCCTCGGGCTAGCTGCTGCTTTTGACTGACTCTTAGGAATCATAAGATAGAGTAAGTGCATTCAATTTTGAAAAACATGATTTATCCATTAAGGTTATTTTAAAAAAGAAGTGCAGACCTCTTCAAGGTTCAAACAGTCTCAAAACAATTTCTCAGCCTCTACCGATTAACATAAACATAGCGAAGGCTGAAACCTTTCACAAAAACCCAGACACAAAGGCTGCACTTTACATATGACTACAGCTGAACAAAAGGATGATCACGTGACAAGGAAGAGACATCTAACTCATCTCAGGCAAAGGTGACTAGGGCTCAGGGAAAATGTCAGCAAAAGCTGTGGTGCCTCAGCTGTCCAGAAGAGGCACCATCTCCTCACTGTACTAGCTATGAAACTCGGGGCAAATGACGTAACTGCTCTCAGGTCCCTCAGTTCCATATCAGAAAAGCTGGACAGGTGTCTCCAGCAGTGGCAGGGAGACACTGACCTGATTTGAGACAGAACATCTAAAGGAGTTAGCACAGCAAGCATCTGGAAAGTTAATTTTCAAACGCGAAACTGAATGGTCTTGCTAGATCTGAACACTCTACTGCAGTTCCCCGGTTTCTAAATCAGGAACCACACAGGCATCATGAGGTTTCCTGGTTTATAAATGTACCATAACATTAGAGTGGGCTATAGTGTTTTCCGTAAATAAACGTAACATATAAACCTATGACGGTGATGATGGGACCAGCGATAGTCATAGTGAACACTACTGAGCACTTACTGGCAGGTTTCAAATGCTTTGTCTGTTATCTCATAGAACATCCCAACAACCCAGAAAACTACTTCATAAATTCTTGGGAATTTTGGGTTGCTTTTGAATTTTTTGTTGCTATTTATGTCTTATTTGAGACAGGGTCCTGTATTTTAACTGGTCTTAAATTTGCTTTGCAGACCAGGCTGGCCTGAAACTTGCTGAAATCCTTCTGCCTCTGCCTCTAAAGGACTGAACTATAGGGGTGTGCAACTCTGACTGGCAACATCCCTGTTTTATAGATAAGTTGATTGGAATTAAGTAATTTCTCTAAAGGTGTATTGCATACTAACCTCGTCAGTACTACACAGTGAAACCCAGCTTTAAAAAAGTTAATTAACTCTAAGTCTTATTTATCTAACGTATTTCTGAAAAGCAACCTGCAACCAGTCATCTCAAAATACAAAGTAATCTCTTAATTACTTTCCCTCTGGTGCATTTATTCCAAATTTAAAACAAAACAAAGCAAAATAATGGGTCTGATTTATCCATTTTGTAAAATATGACACAATTCAGTCTTTTTGTTTACTGAGAAGGAATATAGTTTTCTGAGATTGTTTCCAATTGTGTAGGTTAAAGTGAAAAATGACAAAGCTTTACCTAGCGGACTAAACAATTAACTAAGTTTCTGTATCTGTGAAAGAATCAGGCCTGACCCCCAACTCCAAAAGCCACCAGAAGCCACCAGTCCCAGAACTAGGCCATAGGTCACCAAGTCCAAGAAGAAGACAATGGAGTCCGCTACCCAAGGAACATCCTGGAGAAAACCCAGTAATATTTAACCATCATCTCTAGCAACGGCCAATCAGTGAATACCTGGAATTTACCCAGGTGCTCTTTACAATAGAATGAGTAAAACAATTATGGTTTGGCTTTTCCCTCTGGGCAAATAATTTCCTCCCGGAACTCAGTATTTGCTAAATACCAATCAATTAGACAACTGCCTAGCTGGAATTTCCCAAACTTTGCTGTAACCCTAAATATAATCCCCCTCCCCCTGAGCTCGGGCTCAACACTCAACCACTGTGTGGTGAGGGTGTAGACCCAAACTCGAGCTTGTAATAAAAAGACCCTACTGCGTTTGCATCAGAATCAGCTCCTTGGTAGTCTTTGGGTTCCATAAGACTTGGGCATTACATTTGTCCACACTTTGTATGTGTACATGTATGTACTTGTACATTGAAGACAGAGGTTGACAATGGATGAAGCCTAATCAATCCCTCTCCATCTTATATTTTTGGACACAATTTTTCACTGAACCTGAAGCTCAATAATTCCACTGTGCCAGCAAGTCCCAGGGACCCTCCTGTTTCCCTCTCCCCAGCACTGAAATCACAGGTGTGTATTCTTTATTTTGTGGGTGCTGAAGATGGACCCCAGGACCTGATAATTGCACAGGAAGCAGTATATACTAACTGAGCCATTTCTCTACTACTCAGATATATTTTTAACAAGAAAAAAAATCTGCCAGGAATGGTGGAAATGCCTTTAATCTCAGAAGATTAAAGCAGAGGCAGGCAGATCTCTGTGAGTTCCAGGCCAGCCTGGTCTACATGGCAAGTTTTAGGATAGTCAGAGCTACATACTTAGACCTGGTTTCAAGAAACAAAACAAAACAATAAAATCTGAATTCCAATAGAGAGAGTAGAGGATGCTGCTTAGGAATGTATGGCTTCAACCTCCCCTATCAGTGGACTTGGAGAGGGGCATGGGAGGAGCTGAGGGAGGGAGGGTAACATTGGGAGGAATTGAGGGAGGGGGTTATAATTCAAACTGTAATTAATATAAAAAATAAAAATTAAAAAAAAGAATGTGTGGCTTCAGAACACACAGCGTGTATTTCAGATGAAAGTTTCTTTTACTCATCTACCTAAAATGGTAGAAACACGACAAAGGACGCTTCTATTCAGATGGCCACAACACTTCCTCTAACCATTCACCCAGTGTTAGGGTTCCTCATGAGAACTTGGAAAAAAATGGATGCTATGGTACAAGCTTAATGCTTCAATCCTCAGAACTACCAAAACCCCAAAAAACAGCAATTATTTTCAACATCCAGCTCCATTTAAAAATCACTGTACTGAGCCAGGTGTGGTGGTGTGGGACTTTAATCCCAGCACTTGGGGGGTGGGGGGGCAGGGGAGGCAGAGGCAGGTGGATCTCTGTGAGTTCAAGGCCAGCTGGTCTACAAAGGGAGTCCAGTACAGCCAAGACTACACAGAGAAACCCTGTCTCGAAAGAAGAAGAACAACAACAACACTACACTGATGGGACGGTGGCGCGCATCTTTAATCCTAGCTCAGGAGGTCGGCACAGCTCTATAAATTTGAGGCCAGCCTGGTTTACAGAGGGAGCTCCAGGGCAGCCAGAGCAACACAGAGAAACTGTGACTTAGAAAAAGCAAAACAAAACAAAGAAACGAGGCTATCAAAGCTATAGTTATTTAAAATGACATTTCTCTCAGCAGACTTTGAGTTCATAAAAACCAAGAGCTGATCTCCACTACCCGCATCTTCAGCAGCAGCACAGACTGAGCTGCTTGATGCTCTGGATTAGATAGTAAAACCAGAGCCCTGTAGAAGGCCAGTGATTATAGCTTGGTGCCAACCCTGCCTGTCTCGGTATGGGGAAGTTTATGTGACTAGGTCAAGAATGCATGCTACTGTAGGAGACACAGAGAACATCAGGGAGAGGAAAAGACATGAAACGTCTTTTCATGGTATGTTTCCTTCTTGCAATTCCTGTGTATTATCAATAGGCTCCAAAGCTAGACACTCCTGCCTACTCTCCCTTGACACGCTCACACTGCACATATGACTGCTTGCACCCTTCCCCATCCTCTGAATGGCTGTACAATTCATTTATACCTAGATTTTCCTTTTAAAAATAGCTGAAGGTTATTTTAAAACAGGATTTTTGTGTGTCATTCTGGCTAGCCTGGAACTATATAGATCAGGCTGGCCTTGAACTCACAGAGATCCACCCCTGCCTACTGATGAGTGCACCACAGAGCCTACTAGTTGAAGATTTCTAACTTCCAGTCCAAGCCTTTCACATGCTCACTGCTTCATCTGTGATCTCTCTGCTACTAGTCTGTATAACAAGATCACCAATTTGTTTACCTATGTTTAGACAGAATCTATTTACAGTTTCTTGTCACAATAAGTTTAATTTTTTTTTTCTATTTGAATGAAAAAAACATTTCCACTTTTTTCCTAACATTGTATTCCTTGGCTAGGGAAACCATGAGGTTAATAAATCAAACCCATTTATACATCATTTGCTATACTGGTTACATTTTATGTCAGTTTGACACACAGGGAAGAGGAAAGCTCAACGGAGGAACTGTATCAGACTGGCCTGTGGGCATGGCTGTACGGCTTTTTTTTTTTTTTTTTTTTAAATAACTAACAGATGTTATTACAAACTACCTCATGCAGGCGGGCCTACGTAAGACAGATAGGCATTAAGTGTAGGAGCAAGCCACAAAGCAGCATTCCTTCATGATTTCTGCCTTAAGTTCCTGCCCTGATGGAGTCCCTTCTCTGATCAATGGCCCTGTAGCTGTAAGATGGCCCAAACCCTCCTCTCCTGGCTGCTTTTGGCCACGGTGCTTATCACTGCGGCAGACAGCGCACAGGACACTCTATGAAGGAGGAAAGAAAGCTAATTTCTGAAAGGACGTCATATCATAATAAAGATCTGTTTACTTGGGGCACACTCATCTTTCTGTTCTAGATCTACAAATTTAATTCCATGACATTTTACTTATTTCTTTGAGACAAAGTCTCACTGGGTAGCCCAGGCTGACCTGGAACTCACTATGTAGACCAGGCTGGCTTTCAATTCATAGAGGTGTGTTTATCCTTACCACTCAAGCCCTGGGGTTAAACGTGTGTAACACCATGCCTGCCTTTCCATGGCTTTCTTTGGGTTTGGTTTTAAATCAGGGTCTCACAATGTACGTATAGCTGTCCTGAACTCACTTTGTAGACCAGGCTGGCCTTGAACTCTTGAGTTCAAGGCTTGTGTCTGCTTCCTGAGCACTGGGGTTAAAGGTATGCACCATCATTAGCTTCTAAAAACATCATAACATTTGGGGCTGAAGTAAACAGCAGTCTCTCGTTTGGGAAACCGCACATAAATACATACAAATTCTACAAATATGGATTATGGTCAACGTAACTGTATTTTATTATATCTTTTTATATCAAACACTTATTTACCACTTCTATTTTCCTTTCTATTCCCCTCTCTCTCCAAAGAAGGCTTTCTAGGGACATGAACAGTATATAGTAGGACACTTGCTTATAAAGCTGTATAGCTAGAAACACAGTACCATGCAAAACTTACAGGCCAGTATCAATCCAGTTCAAGTGCTCCAAATATTAATAAAGCAATTAATAAGGCAATAAAGTGAGGGTAAATGAAGTTAATATAAGTAACAAAATTTATAGGATGTTATATTCTCTTACAAAAGCATTTCCCTAACATTAAAGAGACAGAATAGCTGAATGTGCCGGCACATGTCTGTGGAGAACCATGCATGGGCTTGAAGCCATCTCAGGTGGCACAGTGAACTCCAAGCTTGCCTAGGCTACATAGTAAGTTTCAAAACTCAAACCAAAATAAAAAATTTAAAGCAAACACACACATACAACAACAACAACAACAACAGAGAAAACACAACGTAGGCAGGCTGTCATGCAGTGCCCTGTCAGCTTAGCCTGGCTTTGAACCTACACTCTTCCTGCCTCAGCCTCTCGAGTGCTAGGATTACAGGTGTGTGGCCTTCCCACAGTTCTAGATTCAGCTGATCTGAAATAGCTCTCTAAGCGTTGAGAGAAAACATACCTGATATGATGGCACTGAAGGATAGGGAATGACCACTCCTTGGATATGAGTTCCAGTGCTGTTTGGCTGGCCTCCCATGAGGCTCTGGCTCTGGGGTGACTGAACTCCAACTATTCCTTGGTAGTTTTGCTGCTGGTTAGGCATAACTTGATAACCTGTAATGGCAAAATGAGTTAAATCTTGTTTTGAGTTTATTGTAAATAATAGTATATTTCTATCTTTTAAGCAGCTGAGTGACCTAAAATGCCAGAATTTTACTTCATCAGCAAATCTCCAAGGCTATGATAATATTTACAAGGTTTACTATGAAATAAAATTCTCAATTCTTCCCCAAATCTATTTAAAAAAAAAAAAAATATATATATATATATATATCTTCCACGGTTAAGGAGATTTACTGGGTCACAAACTTGGCTAACATGGAATAAGCACTATGCAGTTTGTATCACAGTGCTTAATAACAATTAGTCTCTGGGGATTAGGGTGCCCTAACATAATTTGTTAGGGACCCATCTAAAAGGTAAATTTATCATTCCCTAAAAAAAACCACTAAGACTTCAGGTCATAAGGAGCAAAACATGAAGGTGGCATGGATGCAGACCTAGGCACCTGTATATGCTGCGTACAATCAGTGGCCCTGCTTGGGACCAAAAGAGTATGCATGTGTAAGGAACAGGTTTTTTTACAATGGCTTCACTCTTTTTTTTTTTTTTTTTTAAAGAACTAAAGAAACAAAACTAAAAGCAACAAATCACGCTAAGACATAAATCTATTTAGGAATGTGTTAGAAACATAAATTATTCAGTCTTTTTTTTAAAGGATCATTTTCTCATATTATTAAATTGATCTGACAGAGAAACAGATCATTAAGGAGATTAAATTTAAATAGTAAGAACATTAAGTTTACTTTTATGAAGCAAACTTTTACTTAGAAGAATCTACAATTCTGAGGCTGGAGAGGTGGTTAAGAGCACTGGCTGTTCTTCCAAAGGTCCTGAGTTCATTTTCTAGCAAGACATGGTGGCTTATAACCATCTATATAAAATGAAATCTGGTGCCCTCTTCTGGCCTGCAGGCACACATGCAGGCAGAATACCATATAATTAACTAATTAATTAATTAAAAAGGAATCAACTATGCTAAGTAAGCTTTGAGTGTCAATTATATTTTGTTTCCCGAGTCTAAGTACATTTATGAATTCCAATTAGCACAAGAACAATTTCTAAACATTACCAAAAATGCTTTCACTTAAACGATGACTAAAAAACAAGTTATCATTTAGCTGTAGGGCATTGGGAAAGATTATACAAAGAATAGCAGTAAAATAGCCCGTGCAGACCTCAGCAGGTAAAGGCTCATGAGGTCATGTCCCTGACTGCACCATGTATCCTGTTAAATGAATTCTAATTCTAAGTGAGAGAAAAGATATCAAAAGCTCAGGTACTTATTGTTAGCAGGGGCATCAATGCGGCTGACTTCATAGCATTCTAATGCATTAAAAATGTCTACTCTAGATTCTCCTATGTAGACTGGTATCATGTTGCCTGCTATTCCTCATGCATTTCCTACACTGACAAAGTCTGGACATGGAGAGAAGACGACAGTGAGAGAAACATTTTGCTCTAACAGTGTTCCATTTTACTTCATCAAATGACAAACACTTTAAAATCACACACCAAATTACAAGCACTATCAACACAAATGCACTGAGACACATTTTTTTCCTTAAAAAATTAAAGACAGAAACAAAAAAGGAAACAACCATGTCATTATGTCTGAGATACCACCTTTCAAAACACACCCACACACACCCCCTTTCTTCCTTCCTGGCAGAATTCACTGTAATATAACTGAATTTTAAAAATATTTTAAATTATATAGTCATACTTCCCCCCAAAATAGCAAGTGTTCTGTATGTTGGTAAATTTTTAAGTAGTGCTGGAGAATCAAATACATTACTTTTCACATGCTGAGCATCCTACGAACCACTGAACTAAAGTCCTAGTCTAAATGTTATTCTTACAGTTTATTTAATAAGATCAAGGTTGTCTATTTAAGAAAGAAAAAAAAAAGGTATATGTGGGGAAAGCCAGTCTATACGGCAAATGTAGTTCTTTAAAAACAAAACAGAAAACAGAAGCAAAACAAACAAACAACCTTACATATACTTGCCAGGTTTTGAGATCTGTCTTGGTGGCATCTTTCCTAAAACTCTTTATGAAAAAAGTCTGACACAGACACTGTGTCACATGGTTTAATGTAGGGTCACCTGGATAGCACATTACAGAATCTGCATCACTGTATTCCCATTTCCATGTTTAGTAATTGCCACAAACAGACACACAGAACCAACACCACCATTAACCCTGGAGATAATGGTAACAGGAAATCCAAAACACTCAGCATAGTCATCACTTATAAGGAGAACTGGGATTATACTTGCCAATGGGGTGATATAAACAATGAGAATGAGACCATCTGTAAAATGCGAATCCTGAAACAATGAGATTGGAGAATGAGTAATCTTGTGAAGAAGGCGAAGAATTCTTACTGGTATGGAGGTATTAAGGTATGTGATTTGACTTGAAGAAAAAGAATATTCCAACAAGTAACTGTTTGGAATAAGGAGGGAAATAAGTTAACTATATTTGAGGAACAGAAAGTGGTCTGCAGTAGTTAGACAGAGTGTGTGGACTGAGAAGCCAAGATAAAGGTAGACCAGAATCTCAGCGAAGAAACAGTACAAGTAGAGTGGTGAAAACCAATAGGAATTTCCAGATCTCAAAGAACACCAGGTGGGCCCCCTGTAGAGCCAATTCTCTGAGTGGCGCTTTGTCTCTTGAGGGAGGAAGTGTTTATTTTGGCTCCTGGTTTCAGTTCATCATGGATGGAGGGGCCAAGGAGCAGAGAAAGAATGAGTGTGATAGCAGGCTTTCTGCTCCCTTGTCTCTGCTTCCTTTCTAAACCCCAGCCTTTGGGACAGTGCACCAGGTGCAGGCCAGGTCTTCCTTGCTTAGTGAACTGTATCTGGAAGGACCCTCCTAGGTACACAAAGAGGTGGAAGATCAAAGAGGAGGTGGGAGCACTTCACTAACTTCTTAGGTGCTTCTCTACCCAGTCAAGTTGATGATCAAGTTTAAGCTTAACTTTTTTCTCCTTACAAAATCAGAGAGGATCCAGTGTGAGAAGGATGGTATGGTCATGGACCATATTAATTTTGGATTGAAATTAATTAATCCATTCACCCCACTTACTTGACTCTACATTTTTATATTCATACTTCATTCAAAGCAGCATAAATAAACTGTGAATGTATCCTTGACCGACAGTGGATTTATTGAAAATAAGAATAACAGGCACTTTAAAAGAAAATACCTTTTTCCCTAAGATAATCTCTTGTACCAATTCTACCCACTGTCTTACAGAATACCTCCCAAACAATACTGGTAACATGAACTTGTTCTTGCTAATTCTTTCTTTCCTGGTTTGTATATAGTGTTAAAAAAGTGGAAATTATATATTACTTAAGATTAAAAAAATAAAGAAACTTAAATACCTATCATTATCCCTTCAGAAGAAAGCAATTTATATTAACTATCACTCAGCTAAAATACAGATACTCAATATTTATATTTAAAGCAATGAGGAAAAACACATTCCTAGAGTAGAAACAATTTAAAACATTCTTTTACACAAATCCAGACCTGATGTGCTAAAAAGGCCTACTTCTCAGAACTCATTGTTTAGTAAGTGCTTTCTGATGGCAACAGTTTGTTTCAATAACATTAGTTTACACAGTTAAGTGTATCTAGTCATCTTCACTAAACTGATAATCCCATAAATATAAACCCACCAGTCTGAAGTTTGTGGGTCATTCACTAAGTCTCTTCTCCAACAGCTGAGACACAAATGTCATTTAATCAGGGGGACTGGATTGATTAGGAAGACTATGAAACTGTATTTGTACCTAATATGCAAAATCTGAAACTAACTAAAAAAAAAATTACATTTATTTAAAAATGATAGTCTCCCCCCCCCCCCCGAGGTTTATTTATTTTGTGTGTATGCGTGTTTTGCTTGAATGCATGCCGAACAACATGTGGCCAAAATGCCCAAGGAGGTCAGAAGAGGGCACGAGGTCCTCCGACGCTGAGAAGTACAAATGGCTGTGAACTCCATGCGGGTACTGTGAACCGAACCCGGTTCTCTGAAAGTGTTCTTAATTATTGAGCCATCTTTCCAGTCTCTCAATAAAGTTTCTTAAGACATGATTAGGTCAGGTATGGTGGTACATGTCTTTATTCACAGCACTCAAGGGGCAGAGGCGGGTAGATCTTAGTGAGTCTGAGATCAACCTTGTCTAAAGAGTGAGTTCTAGGCTAGCCAAGGTGATACAGTGAGACCTGGTCTCCAAACAAGACAACACAACACAGCACAACGTAAAACAAAAACATACTTAGACCTCAGGTTTAACAATTAAAAGATACAAAAATAATTCAGTTACTCTCTACCATACTTTGAAAATGAGAGCATGTACCAAGAAGCAAAAAAGACTAAATATTTTAGGACAAACTATGCTATCCTTGCCTCTAGCTTAAAATTCAGTCCAAAAGTCCTATGCCTTTTCATTTAGAATATCAGTTAACTTTCGCTGCTTCAAAGCCACCCCAGGCAGTATTAGCAGCTGACGGTCATAAATTTATTAGCTGCTAGCATTGCTCTGTGCACATGAAATAACTCATTCCACATTCATAGATACAATTATTTCAGATAGACACAATTATCCTCATTTTTTTGGTGAGGAAATAAAGGCACAGAAAGATTCATACCTTAGTCCAAGGTCACAAGCCGGTCAGTGTATGGCTGGGATCTGCATGTAAGATTTCCCTTCCCCAGGGACAAGTGCTGAGGTGGAATGAGTATTACAGAAATACTCAAATAAGTAGGACCTGTGATCTCTGAGTTCTGAGACTTCTGGTTAGAGAAGATGTCTATTCTAGTTTAACATACCCAAGATTCTGGGTAAGGTTTATTTATTTATTTTTGTTGTTTGTTTTTTTGAGACAGGGTTTCTCTGTGTAGCCTTGGCTGTCCTGGACTTGATTTGTAGACCAGGCTGGCCTCAAACTCAGAGATCTGCCTGCTTCTGCCTCCT